GGCATTACCAGTGCTACGAATATCGGTTGCAGCTAACGCGTGAGTTAATGATATTGATTTCTGTTCGCCGGTAGATCACATTTCAGTTTGACCTTACTTTTAAAACTGATACGATTTTTCGCTCCTACCGTCCCGTCAAGTTAGTAGAGGATACGCGAAACCCTTTGATGCCATCGCTCACAGAAGCAAAGCAACTGGTATACCGATTAGCTGGTCGACTAAATCCAATCACTAGCGATGTGTAATTGTCTCTTGTGAGAAACGTAGCGTTATGTAGAGGCATATTAAACGATTCGATGTGTAAAACGTAAAATATTGGGACGCGCGCGTCGTTCGATCCGATGATTAAATAGGAGTAACGTTAACTGTAAGAGCGGACTACCATTAAATTAATATTAGTAAGCGATGAGGAAGGAAGTTAATCGTTTAGGTGATACGATTAATTGAAAAGCTGATAAGAGGAGCACGGTATGATAGTTCTTAAAAGAAAGGTAAACGAAATTAATAGTAGAACCGCGATAATGACGAGATTTCTCGTTCGTCTAAACTATTTTGTACCGAGAATTAGAGGCGTGTGCGCGAGACTCACCAATTCTTTTTAAGATGTTCACGCGTGTCCGTAAATCGCGAACAAGTCGTTCGCGTCACGAGATTACGATTAGGAATTTTAATAATTAATTCGCGACGCGTGTATTTCTGAACGTCCGCCCTCATGTTTCCGCGATTTAATCGGAAATCAGAATGAAAGAGAGAGAGAGAGAGAGAGAGAGAGAGAGAGTGAGAGTGAGAGAGAGAGAAAGATTGCGTGCCAATGGAACTGTATAAATAAAATCATATCAATCTGAAATAGTTCATGTTATCTAGGATATACTATTACTACGATCATTATCACAATATGATTAGTAAGAGTATTGTAATTGTATAATAAACTGCATCATAGATAATTTCCTGCATTCGTTTTAAGCGATACCCAATTTTGGAAAACAGAATTTGATAACGTTTCAAATGAAAGTATCCCATTGGTACTGAAATATGGTTTATTATATATTAAAGCAAGAACCAACCTTGTAACTTCAATAGGGTATCACGAATTCTTTTGTTGGGGGTCCAGGAATAAAAGGAAGAGAACGCGTTTCAAGACAGGAAGGACGAAATACTGGAAACCTAAGTGTGGAATATTGATAAGATTTTTCACATGAGACATGTTCAAAAAGGCGTAGTAAATAATTATACCTATTCTACTAAATTTTGATCACCAGTGTCTCGAATTAAAATTAACATCCAAAATATATGGCTGAGTAGACTGAACATTGCTAGGTACGTTTTATCACTTCCTGTATCCTGCTATTCTTCCATAGACAGCTGTTAGAGAATTCGTCAGTTTTCTAATATTCTCTCCTTTTTCTTCTTATTCGTCTTACAGCAATGATTTTCGCATGAAGCTTGGCGACGTCCATTGCTATCTTCTATTTTCCTCCCTCTGGTTATACTGCAGATCGATTACATTTGTAGAAATCATACTTGACATCAAGAAGAAATAAGCGCATACCTATTTAAACATTATTATAAGATTCTTGAGAGCTGGGAGATGGACACATCGTGTAACACACATCGCTTTGAGATGGTCTTTGTAGAGGATGTGCCAACAGTTTGGCCATGTTGTCATGTAACTTCGCTGCATACCTTCCCACTTCTAATATATATGAAAAATTATTTGTATCTAACATCGCTAATTGGGAATAAATTTCTTCACATAAATTCTCTTGGGTGGGTGGTTCGTGTACGTATAATACATCCAGGAAAAAGTGTGGATTTTTCGCAAGAGCATGTAGAATCGTTTTGTCGTTTGTAAGGAACTTTGGAATACAATTGGACCGTGAATAGATTAAAATCAGTCGAACGACGAACGTAGAAGCAAGGGGCATTCGTTTCTTCGCCGGCAGAGTCAGTCTTTCTTGCACTTTATCGAACATTTGTTCCAGATCGTATAACCTCTCTTCTTCGACTTCCTCCTGCTCCTGATCCTCTTCTTTCCTCTCTGGGAAATCCTCGTTGATTAGATTCAAATGATCGATGATAGAATTTATGTTACTGGTGAAATCACAGATCCATTGAGCACTGTTCGAGTTTAGAATCATCAATGCGTACTCGTGACTACGTTGAATAATGGACTTGATGCAAACGAAGTGTTGTATCACTCGTTTGATCATGACGAGCGGCGTATAGCTCGCTCCTGTAGTAAGTTTGAAAGGAGTACAAGTCCTCTCTCTGACTGTGTCTACTATGAACAGAATCTTCTCCGGGAAATTAATCCCGGGGAGATTATCCGTGGAGACGACGTTGTCCTCATCGGAGTACGAGGGCTTGTAATCCGGAACAGGACTACACACATTACCGGCGTTACTCATTTTCTACTCAACGTCAACTTGACATCCGAACACGCCTTTAACTAGTCCAATGCACAAACGTTACACGCGCATATTTATGTCTCTTTGTAACTGACAAGTAGGCTAACTGAGTAAACTGAGATAACTCATAAGATTGATGAGAAGGAACGCGGCAATATGACAGCGAATGCAAAGCCGGTTTTCACTGCCACTGCGACTATTGCCGGCTGTTGTAGAAACTCTCCTTAACCGCCCTGAATTCTGGATGCACCAGGTAGGGATAGGAGATATAGAGAGAAGGGAAGCGGCCGGGAGAGCAGGGAGAGAAAAGCCAAGTTACGAGTTACGAGAATGATCATAAAAAGTACTTCGACACACAACTTCTAAACATTACAACGGTACTTACGGTATGAGATAAATTTAACTGACTATTGTACGTGGCTCTGTGATCTAACATCAGTCCCGTACTGTCTCTACTAATTGTTGATAATCGTGTATATTATTACTCTATATAAAACCGGTACATAAATATAACATGACCGGTATTGAGCCGCAGATATTTTTTCAAGCTCCCTCCGAACGACACGTACGTAATTTCTGTTTTTACATAGTTCCAGCATTTTGCAGGCCTCGCCAATTCTTCCACGCACGAAGTTCTGGTAAACGTATCTCATCTCGGAGATCGAGCTCGAGGATTATACTTTTCATACGTACCACGGATACCTAACGTAATTAAAAATGGTTAAAGTACGATATACTCGCAATTTGTTTCTACGAGGAATGTGTATTATATATCTCTCTGCGTTCCTTAGTTTTTATATACAAATCCCAGGTGAGTGAAATTCGAGTACGCTTCGCATTCTAAAATATTCCGCTTACTTATTTTCCCTCCTCGGTTCCCTCTCCTACAACTGTTTATCGTTATCACATTCTTATCCTCGTTGTTGTTATGTTAATGATAATTAGCTACGATATTCTAAATGTTTCTAAATAGTTGATTCTCTCCTTTTCTCTATGAAAAAGGATTGTACGGCGAGAATGGAATCCTACCCGCTAGGACGCAATTGGATCTAAAAGGTCGTTTACCTCTTCTTAATAAGTTGAAGCAGAAACCAACATTGCTGTGGTTCGCTCCATACTTTGGACTGAACGTGGAGTATATGCTAGATGTGTTATCTCTTATCGGAGTATTATTTTCATTTGGAGGGTAATTTACCGCCTATCTTCATAATTCACAGGAAGATGTATATACGAACAGTGACAATAATTTTAATTTTCAGATTCATTAGTCAAAAATTTTGCGTGTCACTGGTATTTGCGCTACTCTGGTCGCTATATTATTCCCTCTATCAGATCGGCCAGACGTTTATGTGGTACCAATGGCATGTATCATTCACTTATTTTCCTTCTGTAACGATAACTTTTTATACGACGATGGATTCCCCTTTTTAGGGATGTGCTGTTATTGGAAGCTGGATTTTTATGCATACTGATAGCACCCTTTTTCCACTCGAAGCACGGGAAAGTTAGCAGTCCGACCGACAAAATAACATTCTGGACTGTACGCTGGTTACTCTTCCGCTTGATGTTCTCTAGCGGAGTAGTGAAGCTTACGTCTGGTTGTCCTATTTGGTGGAAATTAGATGGTGCGGCAATTCGACTAACGCGCTTTGATCGTGAACAATATTATCTTTATCCTGTTTCGTTAATGTTTTTCAGCTCTCAGCGTACATTTCGAATCGCAGTGTCTACCCACTTCACTGGCGTGGTATGCCCATCATTTGCCAACATGGTTTTTACGCTTCGTTACCGTGATCGTTAACGTCCTCGAGCTCGTCATTCCGTTCTTATTCTTCTTTCCAAACAGGAAAGTGAAAATCATTGCATTTTACATGCAGGTAAATGTTGTGATACTTGACACTTCATGCGTGTCTAATGAGTCTTGCTGCGATTAACAGTTTCATTCTCCCAGGTATTCCTGCAAGTGCATATTATCGCGACAGGGAATTACAACTTCTTCAATTTCCTAACCATCTGCTTATGCATCTCTCTGCTCGATGATCAGTTTTTCTATAAAAAGAAAGCGAGAAGCGACTCGACCAGCAATAGTACCAAGTTTTTATCTACGATAACATGCATTGCAGTTTACGCAGCAATTGTTTTTGCTACCTATGTATATTATAATCTTCGAATCACCGATACGTGGACTATTCAATGCGATATCGGTAGATATATGTGACTATCTGTCGGAACACTTGACCCATTACTGTTTTCTTATATGTATTTGGTTTATTCCAGCATTTACGCAAGAGCAGTTCAATTATGTTTTATCTCAAGCAATTCCAGTGTCAATCTGCATTGGCATAATATCTCTTATAATTTTGGCGATAAGAGCGATAGTTGCGTCTCTGTCAACGGCTAAAGGGATACGAAATAAGACGTTCGGATTGCTTCTAACATGCATTTATACGGCTGCAGTTTGTCTCATTTTTGGTATAAGTATTGTACGTCGTCACTTTAAATAATTTTAATTCTAATAGACATGAACAAATAAGCTGACATTGTCGCTTGATGTCTCGATCAGGTGCCGTACGCCACACTACATCAGTCTCACAATTCAACAATACCGGTTCAATTAAAGCAAATGCACGGGAAAGTCGAGCACCTCCAACTCGTCAATAGTTATGGATTGTTTCGACGTATGACCGGTGTCGAAGGCCGACCGGAAGTGATCATCGAAGGAGCTAACAGCATCGACGGTCCATGGAAAGAATATGAATTTTTGTACAAACCAGGAAACGTTAATAACTCTTTACCGCTCGTAGGTGGGTATAATTATTATGATAAACTTATTACGTTTTTATTTATTTGTGTAACTCTGTATTCTCTCAGCTCCTCATCAGCCACGACTTGACTGGCAAATGTGGTTCGCAGCATTAGGCACTTATCATCAAAATCCATGGTTAATGTCGTTAGCCTACCGTCTCTTGAATGGTCAACCAGAAGTACTAGTTCTATTGAACAATGTGGAAAATCCGTTCCGTGACAATCCACCGAAATATATAAAAGCTAGTCTGTACCGTTATCATTACACTTCGTGGTCCCAGTCGTAAGTACACGTTCAATCGAAATATATATTACGAAATCGAAATGAATCATAATATCAATTTTTTATAGGAACAAACAAGCCTGGTGGACGAGGGAAAAGATCGGTGATTACTTCCCGATATTTAGTTATGATCATCCACCGCTTGTCGAGTATTTGTCGAAAATGAAAATTATTGTGGAGAAGCCGTCTTTCAAAGTAACGAACGAACCACTGAAACTGCTCCTCGACAATCTTAGGTCTCTAAGTACCAAAGTCGAAGCTAGCCTCCTTCTGTGGGGAGTTCTCACGGCAGGTTTCGCGATCATATTCACTAGTGTCAACAATTCGATGTCGAAGAAGAACTCAGAGTCTCGTTCGAAACATGCCTAAACCTCTACTCAGGGACCGGACCAGTTATTCAATTCCCATTACATTACTTGTAACATACCTATGCGACGTACATATATTTATATACATACGTTTGTTGTTGAACCCTGAGTTAGATAAATCGAGATTGTCCTCCCGATTTACTATTCGTGAATTGCGATTAATCGACGATCGAATTTTAAAATACGTAAAAGAGGCGAAGATAAAGTAAAAGGGAGAAACTTCCTAATAGAATATACAGTTGATTTCTTATCAGTAACTTTAAAAAATGTTCGTGAATTAATTCGCCTTAAAGACTGGATCTTTCTAGCCCCTTGCATGTACATTACAAATGCCAGTGTTTTGTATTTCTATTTTTCTATTACAATTATTCTCGAGTGATGAAAAATACTCTGCTTACGCTTCATTACATTTAATTATGCTAATTATTAAATAATACGCTCTCTCTTTCTCTCATTACATACGTTCTTATGAAATGTACAATAATTATCCAAGAAATAAGATTTGATGAGATGTAAGTAAAAATATTGTATTTTGAATATTGTTTCTTGAGCTTCACAATTAAAAGTCGTCCTTAGAACATAGATTTCTAGCTTAATGATTTATAGAAATGCTTTTCTATCTTAAAATTATTCCATCTATATACAAGTAACAAAAAGGAGCTAAAACTTCTGAAACAGGTTGCAGTCATGTATAAATGATTCTCGTCTAATTTTTTCGTTGCAAACATTTCTTTCGTGCATTGACACTAGGAACGTTCCTGTCCTCGGTGTCGATATCTACGAAACTAAACGAATTCGTGTCGTTTCCCAGGAAATCGATTT